CTTATTTAGTCCTGATTTTTCCAAGAATCCCACGGTTCTCGGAGCTTGTTGCTACCACATTTCACCCTAAAGGGAACATGCTGTGCCTGTACTTTCGCCAATTCCACTTTGAACCCCTGACTGTCTGTCGTAAATTTCCACAGATATAGCTTTTCCCAGTCTACTTTGGCCAGATCCTGCTTGATTTCAATAAATTCTGCCTTCCCCCAATCCAAAACCCTTTTTTGCAGACCATCTGTTCCCTTTTCCATAACAAATTTAAAACTTATGATTTTGTGATGCTGAGGTTAAGATATAAGATCGTGTGGTATTAAAAGAAGTGCATTGGAGGTATGAAGTGGATAATGGATAGAGAATCGGCTACAGTGAGGAAACAGTGAGTGGGGATAAGGGGTTCTTTATCAGGTTTGCAACCTGTAATCAGTGTGGTTCCACAGAGATCAGTGCTGGAACCACAATTGTTTGCAATGTATATTAATGACTTGGAGGAAGGAACAGTATGGACTGTAGCCAAATTTGCAGATGCCACAAAAATAGGTGGAAAGCAAGTTGTGACAGAGGTACAAACAGTTTACACAGAGAGATATTAATAGCTAAATTAAGTGGGCAAAAAGTTGACAAATTATATATAATATGGAAAAATGTGAAATTGCTCATTTTGAAAGGGAAAAGAAAAGAACTGAAAAAACAGTGTGGAGCTGGAGGAATACAGCAGGCCAGGCAGCATCAGAGGAGCAGGAAAGCTGACGTTTCGGGTCAGGACCCTTCTTCAGAAATGGGGAGGGGAAAGTGAGGTAAGAAATAAATAGAGAGAGGAGGAGTGGGGCTGGGGAAGGTAGGTGGGATGGTGATAGGTGAGTGCAGGTAGGGAGTGGTGGGGATTTGGTAAGGTGAGGTGGTAAGGGCGTATAGGTAGAAGAGATGATGGACAGGTTGTGTCAAGTCAAGGAGGCAGGGATGAGAGGGAGGGATGGTCATGGATGAGGCTGGGGGTGGGGAGATTTTGAAACTGGTAAAATCCACATTTAGGCCATTGGGCTGTAGGCTCCCGAGGCAGAATACTCACTCTTCCAGTTTTGCGAGTGGCGTCATTGTGACACTGGAGGAGGCCCAGGATGGACATGTCACCCAGGGAGTGGGAGGGGGAGTTGAAATGGTTCGCAACCGGAAGATGTTGTTGTTTGTCGCGAACAGAGTGCAGGTGCTGTACAAAGTGATCTCCAAGTCTCCAGTTGGTCTCACTGATGTAGAGGAGGCCACATCGGGAGCAGTGGATGCAATAGACCATGTTGATGGATGTGCAGGTGAACCCCTGTCTGATACGAAAGATTTGCTTTGGGCCTTCGATGGAGGTGCCGGGGGAGGTGTAGGGGCAGGTGCAGAACTTCCTGCTGTTGCAGGGAAACATACCGGGGGTGGTGGGGTTAGTGGGGAGTGTGGAGCAGATGAGGAAGTAGCGGAGAGAGTGGTCCTTACGAAAAGGATGATAGGGGTGGGGAAGGAAATATATGTTTGGTTGTGGGGTTGGATTGCAGGTGGCGGAAGTGGCAGAGAATGATACATTGGATATGGAGGTAGGTGGGGTGATATGTGAGGACAAAGGGGTTTCTGTCTTTGTTTTTGTTGTGGGGAGGGGATGTGAGGGCAGAGGTGCAGGATACACAAGAGATGTGGTCGAGAGTGTCTTCAACCACCGAAGCGGGGAAGTTGCGGTCCTTGAAATAGGAGGACATCTGGGATGTGCAGGAGTGGACCGCCCCATCTTGGGAGCAGACGCGGAGGATTGTAGGTGACAGACATGGCAGAGAATGATACGTTGGATACAGAGGTTGGTGGGGTGATATGTGAGGACAAGGGGGATTCTGTCTTTGTTTTTGTTGGGGGCCTCCACCACATCTGCTCCCAAAATGGGGCGTTCCACTCCCGCACACCCTAGATGTCCTCCTATTTCAAGGAAGTGGCGCACGGAGGGGTTCAGTATTGAGGAGGTTGTGCACTGAGGGGTTCAGCACTGAGGGCGGCCAGAATGAAGGGAGGTCAGCACTGACGGGGCAAGTACTGAGGGAGTACTGCTCTGAATGTGGTCAGCACTGAGGAGTGCTGCACTGAGGGTGGTCAACACTGAGGGGCTGCTGCAATGAGGGGTGTCAGCACTAAGGGAGTGCTTCACTGAGGGGTGTCAGCCGTGAGGGTGTACTTCACTGTTGGAGGGTCAGTGCTGTGAGACAATCCGAGGGTCAGTATTGAGGAAGTGGCGTATTGAGGGGGTCAGTATTGAGGAAGTAGTGCGCTGAGTGGGGTCAGCACTGAAGGGAGGTCAGCACTGAAGGGAGGTCAGCACTGACGGGGTAAGTACTGAGGGAGTGCTGCACAGAGGTGGGTCAACACTGAGGGAGTGCTGCACTGAGGGAGGGTCAGAACTGGGGGCGGGGTGTCAGAACTGAGCGGGGGGAGGTCAGAACTGAGCGGAGAGGGGTCAGCACTGACAGGGGGCTGCACTGACAGGCCCCCCTTCGGAAACTGACCTTCATCCCAGATAATTACATAAATTGCAAATTGCTGAGGATCAATAACTAATCCCTGTGGCATCACACTCATTACATCCTGTCAACCTGTAAAAGACCTATTCTCTGCTCTCTGATTCTTTTGTCCATGGCAATGTGATACCCATCTGCGTCATGAGTTACAACAGCCTTTGATGTGGATCTTTACCAAATGCCATTTGGAAATCTAAGTACAAATATCAACCAGTTCCCCTATATCCACAGCACATGTTACTTCCTCAAAAAAACTGCACTAGATTGGTTAAAATATTTCCTTTCTCCAAAACTATGTTGACTGTCTGATTACCCTGAACTTTCCTAAGTGACTTGCTGTAACATCTTTAATAACAGTTTCTAACATTAGGCACGGAGGCTCAGTGGTTAGCACTGCTGCCTCACAGCACCAGGGACCCAGGTTCGATTCGACCCGACCTTCGGGTGACTGTCTGTGTGGAGTCTGCACTTTCTCCCATGGTGTCCAGGGATGTGTAGGCTAGGTGGATTAGATATTGGGAATACAGTGTTGGGTTAGGGGGTGGTGGAATGCTGTTGGAGGGTCAGTATGGACTTGATGGGCTGAATGGCCTGTTTCCACTGCAGGGATTCTATGATTACCCTCTGTCAGATGTTAAGCACACTAGCTATTAGTTCCCTGCTTTCTCCCTCCATTTTTGAATATCGAAGTTACATTCCCTGTCTTCCAATCTCATGGGAATTTCCTTGAATCTAGGGAGTTTTGAAAATTTAAATCAATGCATAAGAATCCCTCAAGGCACTTCTTTTAAGACTCAGAATGATGTCCATCAGGATCCAGGCACTCCTCAGTCTGCAGCTTCAATTTACTCAGCACTACTTTCCTACCAATTCTGATTTTCCTGAGTTCCCCCCTCTCTTCTGTTTCCTGATTTATCACAACTTTTGGGATGTTACTTGTACCCTCTCTAGTAAAGACAGATGCAAAATACCTGTGCAATTCATCTGCCACCGTTTTTATTTCCCATTATCAATTTGCCAGACTCACTTTCTATAGGAACAATGCTAGCCTTGTTAACTCTTCTTTTGAAATGTACAGAGGCTCTTAATATTTCTGGCTAACCTTCTCTCATACTCTTATTTTTCCCTTCTTATCAACATTTTAATAATTCTTAGCTTTTTTTTTGATATTCTGTCCAAGCTTCTGACATGCCACCTGCCTTTGTGCAACTGTATGCTTTTTCTTTAAGTTGGATCATCTTTTTAACCTTTCTAGTTTACCACAAATGATAGGTCTGTTGCTTGGAATTTTACTTCCTTGTTGGAATGTATCTATTCAATATATTCTCAAACATCCCCTTAAACATCTGCCACTGCATCACTGTTGACCTATCCCTTAACCTAGTTAGCCAATTCACTTTAGCGTGCTCTGCTTTCATGACCTGAATATTTGATTTGATACAAGTTTTAAAATAAAATCTTGGCCCCAGTTCTCTTTCCCTCACATCATGTGTAAAATTCAATCATCTGATGGTCATTGCTACCTAGGGATGCCTTCATTATGAAAACATTAATCAATCATATCTTACTGCACAACATAGGTCTGATAGAGCTTGTTCTCTGGTTGGCTTCAGAACATGCTGTTCTAAGAAACTTCTGAAAACATTCTATGAACTCCTTAAATAAAAACAGTGCTGTAGAAACGCAGCAGGTGAGCAACATCAGTGGAGAGAGAAACAGGGCTAACATCCAATCTACCAACAGATTAAAATTTCCCTGATTACCATCATGCCTTTCTAACAGACACTTGTGATTTCTTTCTTTATACTGTACCCTATCATGTGGCTGCTGGTAGAGGCCTGTACACCACAGAGTGATTTCTTGCCTTTATCACTTCTCATCCTGGTTTCCTGAGCTTAGGTCATCCCTCACTATTATGTTAATACGATCATTAACAAACAGAGCCACCTTTTCCTAGCTTACTAACTTTCCTAAATGCCCTATATCCTTCAATGCTCAAGTACTAATTTATCCATGTCTTTGCAATGGCTATTAGATCATTCTTATTTGTTTGAGACTCAATTTCTCATCTGTTTTGTTTCAAATGCTACATGCATCCAAATGCAGAGTCTTCCATTTTATCTTTTAATTATTATCGTGTCCTCTAATCTTAAATGTTGATTTAGTCTTAGACATGTATTCTCTATTCCTTTTTGTCATAGCTTGTTTATCATTTCATTATTAATAACTTTCTCTCTGATCTTGTCTCGAATCTTTGATTTACAACATCTTCCCAAGTTACTGCAGCAACTTACTATCACCTCCCAACAACAATTAAATATGGGCAATGAATCCTGGCCTAGCTGACAAAGCTCACATTAAGGAAAGATAAGAAAAAGACAGACTTTTTAATCACAGGTTATTGTAAAGCTCTAAAGTAAAAAGATATATTTTCCTGAAATGTACAAGTAAACAATTCCTTACTCAAGTTTATACACAGGTAACCAGTAAACCAGACGACCATTCATGACCAGGTTTTCTGCAGCGAAGTTCAGAAGATCAATGAAAATGTCACTCAAGTGATAACTCACAGAGACTGGGACATGACTTTCCATGCTGAAAGATAATAAAAACAAATAAAATCACTCTTCAGATGACAGGCAAGTTTTTTTTTATAATGTGTATTATCTTTAACATATCACTTAGATCTTGAACACCTCAATGTTTCTCCCCTGCTTTTAAAGTGGTTGATGAGACCAGTTTAAAAACTTTATGACTAGATGGGCAAATGCAAAATTTTCAACTTAATTCCTTAGTTAAAACACAATTAACAGAACTGATCGTTTTCAAGTGTGCAATCCTAAAAATGTTTTTTTTAAAATGGTAGAAGAGCAATAAAAGTCAAATGTAACTGTGAAAATTATCCTTTAACACTTCACAAGTACTTACGCAGTTTAAATGTCAAGGGTGAAAGAAAACAGTCGGAGTGAAAATGCAGCGGAGGAAGCAAAGCACAGGGCTAAGCTGGTGCTAAAGTTCCATACATCAGAGGTTAACCTGAGGTGACAACCTGGGAGGTTGACAGAGTTGAAGCTGGAAGAATATAGGTGTTTGTAAGATCGAGAGTGGATGGTTTCAGTTTTTATTGATATCTGAGGTGATTTGGACAATGTTGCTAAGCACCAATGCCTGGTGTAATGTCTGTTGTGAATCACTTGTCACCTAAATCCTCTGAACTTTTCTGGCATCCTCTCTTGTAATAGTCCTGTCAGATGGACATTTCACCTTTGTCCACTGACAAAAAGCTGTTCTACAGCTCATATTCATTTTAAATTAGTATGGTGATATTTAAAAATCAGTCCCCCTCACGACACTCAGAGCTGGTCTAAATTGTAGTAAACCACTCATTTTCAATTTAACTGTGAAGTAGTAGACTGCTGCTCAAGTTAATTTTTAGGTAATATTAACAAATGAAAAGGGAGAACTCTCAGTGTTCCACAGTGTAGGATCAACTTTCAAAGGGGCCAGAATCTTTAAATCAATGCTAACTGGAGGTCCATGGTTTTGCCAATATTCAACCAATTTTCAATGCCATCTATTTTCCATTAATTTTAGTGAAGACTTAACCTTTTTGCTTGACAAAATTAATTCAAAGTCTAGTAAATAACATCCATTCATTCATATCATCACAGGGAGCACAATAGAGTTATTAATAATGCATAACAGGTTAATATTGTCCATTAACTTCAAAAGAACTAACAGTTGCAATAATGTTGTAGGATCCAGATAATATCAAGTTAGCAACTTGAGTACATTACAAAATCTGAGATTGTTTGTGCACTATAGACATGTTTTACTTTCTTATAATGATCTTAGAGCTTGGTTATAGTTTTAACATTGTTCACATCTTGCAGCTTCCGAATTTAATCATGATTCCCCACAATGTAATTTAAAGAATGAATATTTTGTTGTATTCTACAGAGATTAAGAAAATGCATGTTTTAGAAGATATATATATAGACTGTAAAAAGACACAAAATAATGGCTTGTAGAACAAGCTGAAAACAAATTATGAATGCAATGAAATAAAAGAAACTTGAACAGGATGTTTAAATTAAGATCATCTGGCAATCATTTCCAATTTTTTTTGGGCGGTGGAGGAGTTGAACAGATTGATCAAAGTGAAGAATGTTAGTCCTGAGGAATAGAAAATTAATAGCTTCTAATAGCTAGAGAATCATTTACAAGATAAACATCAGTGTGAACGTCATTCAGTGCTTCCTGGTCATTCATTCCGAAAAATCCTCCACTTTCCTGATGAGGCATCTAATTGTTTCTTAGTTCCAGAGTTGTCACATTCTCCTACCAGAAATGTGTACTGATTTCTCAGAGAGCTTCCTGTTTCCATGTGTTCATTATTTTGGCTTGTAGCTCTCTATGAGGTTGTTTTCTGATTTGCATTTTCCACAAAAATTGATTGTTTTATGTATCTCTATAATATGTCCTCTCAGTCTCATCCATCTGATGCTGAAGAGCCCAAGTTTGTCCATAGCTCTTCATAACTCTGACAATATGGAGCAACCTCTTGGCTTTTTTCTGTACTGCCTCCAGCACCTGAATATCTTCTGTATCAGAGTGACCAGAAAGGGACACAGTCTTCCAGCTGTGGTTTCAGTAGTGCATTATAGAGTTTCTAATGTTTTGGTGATACAGTTCAGCATTCTATTGGTTTATTGATAACTGTTTCCCAGTACTCAGATACTGTGATCATCAATTCAAAGACTCTAAATCATTTTCAGATATATCTTGAGCAATTTCATTAGCATCATGGGGTAAACATTTTGCCCATTACTTTGAAAGGAATAACGTTAAAGGACATTTTAGTATCTTACCCTCTCCCTAGACTTAGTTTTGTCCAGTTAGAAATGACTTATTCTCTGGTTAGCTCAGAGACCCTCGTAGCCAGAGGTAAACGGTGCCACCTAGTGACTGAATTTGACATCTTGTAGCATAAGGCTACACAGTGGCTCAGTGGTTAGCACTGCTACCTCATAGCACCACGGGCCTGGGTTTGATGCCACCCTCAAGAAACTGTCTTCGTGGAGTTTGCACGTTGTCCATGTGGGTTTCCTCCCAAAGTCCAAAGATGTGCACGGATAAACAGTACAAGGATTAGGTCGGGGATGGGTCTCGGTGGGATGCTCTTCAGAGTGTCAGAGTGGACTCGTTGGGCCAAATGGCCCATTCCCACATTGTAGGGATTCTATGGAAAGCTGGCAAAACACCGAGAATTAGACGAAAACCCGCTCCATTTTCTTGTCCAGGCGTCATTTATCATCCAGCTGGTAATCCATAACGGGCATTCAGAGGCATTTGTACCTGTAAAGATTGGTAGCCCAGAGGCCACAGGTCAGGCAAGTTTCAGGAAGTGCTGGGAAAGGAGGGCAAGTGAAGGGTGGGAGTGATCCAAACTTCCTCTGTGCTGCCTTAAGTAGCGCTCTGCTCCATTTGGTTCTATAGTGGGTCTGCGCAGTTAAAATAGACAGGGTATTCATGTTATCCGAGAGGACTCCGTAATGTACATATTTATGAATCAGCTGCCCTTGTCAAGTGGATGCCTTAATTGTCTAAGAGAACAGCAATGATATTGTAGTCAAACAACTGGAAATGAGCACTAAGTACTTTGAGGATTTTAAATCCCTTCCATCTCAGTTTCTGCAGAGGAAAGGACTGAATTCCCCTCTGTCAGAAAGTATTCAAGCTGCTGAGTAGTTAAATGTGGAAGTCTATCTGGTAAGAGAGCTCTCTGTTCGAAGTACTCATCCAATATCCTCCTACCCAATCTTTATCTGCATAAAAATGACAACGTAAAGAAGTTACTGGTCAAAAAAGAATGCAGCAGTGCCAGAGATGCACATTTTGAACCTCCTTCCCTTTTGAGATGCCTTATGCTGTAAGTGCTTCAAGAAGTTGCATCCAACCTGGAGCATTCTGACATAGTGTTGTTTGAACCTGTGTGTAACAGCTTATCCCAAGAAGCACATTACTGATTATTGCAACAATTACTACAACACCCAGGGGCTCCAAGTCAGCTCCGAGGCCAACTCAAAGCGTTTGCATCCACTCAAGCAAAGGAAGCATTTGAGGACATAGATTAGATAGCAGCTGAAAGCGGAAAGAAATCAAATTGATGAGTTTCCACAAGGCTGCCAGCATAATATTTTATGATGATCATTTTTTCACATAAGGCATGAAAGACTTCATAAAATAATAAAATAATCTACAAATATTTTCAAAACTTTAGCCCAGTAATACTGCTGCTTATAGTTACTCCTGCCATGTGAGGTACTGTCATGGTATGCCACACCTGTCTGTCTCTATCAATCTCATGCATCCACTGTAGCTCCTCTGGAACAACTCTGCTGTTGTAGTGGCTGCCTAAAATGTTAATGTGTTAGTATTAACAGTTTTTTAACATGGGCTAATTGCTCAAATTGAATACTTACTATTCCTCTGTTGGTTTTAAAATTTCTTTCTGTGATCCTGTTTTTCTTGTGGATTCCCTTATGCCATATGGAGCTGGAAAAAAAAAATTGCCAATACGAAAAAAGGCTCGACAAAAAGAAAGCTGTAACTTCTCACACTCTTTGCTTTCTTTTATACTCAATTACTGAGTCATTTTGATACAAGAATTTAACCATGGAGTGACATTTGGGCATAGCTGAATGCATTAAAAAAAACTCATCAGTGTACAAGTTTAAACACAATATAACCATAATTTAAAGTAGTCAGTGACAAGAAATTTTAAAAGTGGTATAGGATAAAAACACATCTCAGAAACACTCCAATTTTTGCTTTTTTGATTTCGGTACTTGCCCAAATGATATTATAATTCATTCACCAGCACAGAGAACAACCAAACCTACTCAATCTCTTTTCAAAAGATAAATTAACTTATGTGAAGAATTATAGTAAATTCCACTTGGAGTAATCAGGTTCATCAGAAAAGCAACCACACTCAAATATGTTTAATTGGCTATGAAGTTATACGATGACCTGAGTTGTCAATGCCTGTAAAACACCATTATCTTGTAGATACAGTGCTCAAATTTTATTCACCAACCCTATTTGCAGATTTCCCATATGATAATCCATGCAGAATATGCTCTGTTCACCGCTGCCACCTCAACCCAATACCTCTCCACCCTGTTGTATGCTACTCATTGTTCTTATCCCAATACTGGGTCAGAAGATGGGAATTCTACAACACTCTGCAGAGAAAATCTGGACCCAAATCCAACTCTAGCTAGGGCAACGTTACTGAGCAGTGTTGACTTGCAAATTAAATCACTGATCAGTAAACAATGCAAAATATGTTGCTCAGCCTCTTCTGCCTTCATTGTAATGAAACATTACAATTCTTCAATTTCAACTTACGATCTGTGATGATTGCATCAAACAACTTCCCTCTCCTCCATATATTTTTTGAGGCATCAGAAACAAGCACATCAATATAGAATTCCTCCAAGCCATATTGGCGAAGGTTAGCCCGGATGTTCTCATCTGGTCCTCTCCATTTCTGGTTTTTCCTGCTGGCCTTACCTGAAGAAATATACAATGCCATTATTTCATGGTAATCAAAGTAAACTTTAACATAAAACACAATACGTTTACTGTGTAACTAAAAGATGGAAAATTGATTTTATCTGACTTTTTTCTGTTCTTTATTCCACATCCACAGTCCTCAGAATTTATTTTTCATGCTTTTACTTCCACTTTTATATCTTGCACTCCTTTCATGGGCAAACAACATTTTATCAATTAATCTCTTTTGGCCTCTAACCTATCCCTGTTCTTCCTTTTTCTCCTGCCTGCTCCATCTCCACTTTTCAACACCGTAAAACCCATCAGAAACCTGGCTCTTGACAGTCATGCTGGACTTGAAATGTTAACTCTGTTCCTTTTTTAATAGGTGCTGCCAAACCTGCTGTCTTTTCCAAGCACCTTCTGCTTTTCTTAATTTCTCACCAAAGTCCCACAGACCCCACTGCACACTCTATACTCCCAACATACTAAACACCAGCTGATTATCAGAGCCATTCACCACACTTCCCTATACTATCTTTGAAATCTGTACATAATTACATCACTTCAACATATCCTTTGGTCTTCTGAATACTGACATTCCATGTCATCCGTCACTTTACTGCACCATCAGTGATAAAGCTTTCCACTGCCTCCATCCCACATTCAAGTTCTGCTACCTGAAACACATCATCTCTCAATTTGTCTCCACTCTTTTTAAAACAGAAAATACCTTGCATTTATACAGCACCTTTCAAGTGTTCAGATGTGCCAAAAAGCCTTAAGCTAATTACAGACTTGAGTGCAGGACAAGTCTGCACACAGCAATATTGTAGAAACAGAAATCAGATGAACGACCAATAAATCTGTTTTAGTGCAAGTGGTTGAGTGTTTAAATGTAGAACAAAAAGACCTATTGTACTCTTCTGTAAACTCTGCCATTGCAAAGTTTTAAATCCTTCAGAACAGACTGATAGTTAAAATTTAAACTAAAAAACATTGCCTTTAACCATGTAGGATTCCCTCAGTAGAGCACTGAAAAACAAATCCATAACCTAGCCTGAAGCAAGTTCCAGAGTGGGGTCTGCACCTTCCAAATCAATGACAGGAATAAAATGACTGAGCCAGATCTTCTAAAAACATTAACCTAACTTTCAAACACTCACCCGAATCTCTCCTTCCAGAGCCTGGTGTCCATTGAACTATTTTTCTTTTGTGAACTTCCTTGGAACACTTTAATTAAACATTAATAGTGCTGCATAAATAGAAGCTGTTTCCATGCAGAGTACCACGAAACCTAAGTCCAAAATTTATCCATTCAAGTTAAAGTAGGAAAAAGCTTTAGAAGCAATTTCTTTTCTGTAAGCAAAAACCAATTTCCTCAGTAAAGTGCCAGAAATAAACTTACTCCTGTTTATTTTAAGAAAGACATTTTTCTTTTTAAACAATGCAAAAAGTTTTGAAAGGGTTACTCACCACGTCCATGAATAATGTTGTAGTCAATGTCTGTTCCACATACGTAGGCACCAAAATGGGCACAAGCTACAAGAAGACTACCTAGGAAAAACAAGAAACAACAACTTCAAAATGAACTTCTCTATCAGGACCACCCTATAATAAAGAAAGGGATTCAGAGATAGACCGTAAGAGGACAATAAGGCATAGGAGCAGTAGGCCATCCAGCCAATCAAGTCTCCCCTGCCATTCAAAGAGATCATGTTCATCTGATAGTCCCCAGTTTCATTTTCCAGGGAGTTTGCCCCACCTCAAACAGGACCTTTTACAGGACACATGCATGTCCTATCTACCAATCCCATCAAGAATCAGCTGAAAAACAGACACTGAAATCAATTTTCCACTGTTCTGATATTTGAAAACAGATCTGAATGACTTACAGTCACTTCAACCTAGCACAAAAATCCCTGGGAATCACAGGTACAGTCCCTGCAATGTGTTACTTCTGATTTTCACTTTAGGGAGGTTTGTGGATGCCCCTGGCTTCATACAGAGTGGGGTTTGTCATTTAAACAGTCGGCTGCCTCCATTTAAATCTGATTATGGCTGTCTTCAGCAGTGAGTGAAAAGTGCAAACCAGGTCAGAGGAGGTCAGTTTCAGTGGATTTATTTTGGATAGCCAGGGCACCCATTTGGAGAGGTGAGGCACCTGTGAGATATGGTCCCAGGACATTTTATGTGGGGCCTCGACAGAGAGTCATACCCGACTACAAATGTTAACTCTGCTTCTCTCTCCAAAAATGTTGCCAGACTAGGTGAGTTTATCCAGCACTTTCTGCTTTTATTATAACTTATGTGGAGAGTCAGGTGCCTTTGGAAGGTGGGGGACCTACAATCGACACGATCCATAAAATGTGCATTAAATCACATCCAAATAAGGCAAAAAAAAATTAATTTAAAAACATGTTGAGTCTTCAAAGAATTGATGTAAAATTCACAGTTTGAGAAAGTGACAGATATGTACTGGAAACTAAAGCAAATTATATCAACCCAGGACAAATGCAAACATGCCAAATTTCAAACAACCACAACAAGTTATACAACAGAAGTGCACACTGATTGGTTTAAGCACAGCTATGGAGAAAGCAAGGGAGAATATAGGGTCCCCAAGTTCCCAGGTTCATCAAAAAAAATGCAAAGCATGAAAACATTCCTTTTGTATGTCAAGTGCAGTTCACTCTGTGTATTAATATATTTCACACCAAGCAAGCATAAATGAGCTGTGTTACAAACTTCTCCAATTATCTTGAGTGATTGTTTGTGTAATTCCTGGTGTACTTGGGACTTGTTCAGCAACTGCTGCCTAATCACAGAGACCCCTTCTAATAGTAGGCATTTCGTTTTTTCAGTTTTGTAAATACGGATTGGTTGGATATTGTCTGTATTCTGCCCATTACAAACAACCAAAGGGAAAATGCTGTTTGAGTCAGGGAAACAATAGATCACAAATCTATGCGCCTGGGTTTGCACCAGCACTGAAATGCATACATGATATTTGTGCCTCTGTGATACCAGACAGGTTGGTCAAATGTGCCGACAATTGGCTGTTTGAACCAAAAAGCATGTTCTTTCAGTTATTCGTAAGTAAGTAAAATACAGACTGTAGTCCACTAGTTCGATGTGTTTCCACAATAGTGCTGCACTTGAACAATGGGTCGATTAAGAACGAATTTAAGATAATCAATTAAGCTCCTTACATGATTTGTTTATATTTGCTCGACGCTACATACAGTTAAAAAAGGACTTTCTCTAAACAAACTAAAGAGATATGTTCAAGCCCTGTATCTTTTTTGAACTACATCATAACTTGGGAGCCTATAGTTCCTCATTGGTTTTCTCCTCGGCCAATGAGAGTTGATTTCTCAATCAGCACCCTTTTCTTCCATTGTATAAATAGCTGTGATTGTTTGAAATTTGGCATTGAAGCAGTTGTTCTGATGAGAAAGACAAAATAAACTTCAGCAACACGCCTCTCTGTTCAGCAATATTTAGGTTCTGAACTATCAAACAACTATTTAAATTGCATCTATGAACTATCTGTACAACTTGCCTTTAGAATTTTCAAACAATGAAGGGAAAAGAAATAAAAATTCTTGTCAGCCAAAAAAGTTAAATATAGCTTACACTGCTATAGGTTTCTGCTAAATCCTTCTATTTACCTGTTCCTACAAATGGATCAAATACCAAGTCATTGGCTCTTGTTTTTGCATGATTTGCCATTAGAAAGGCGAGACCTGCATCCATACTGGTATTCCCAATGAAGTGACGCTTCTTCACGCTGTACAAGTTGATTAACTCCCTCCGACCATCTGCAATCTAGAACAGAATGGATCATGGCAGCAAATTAAGTATTTACTTCTTTTAATTCTCCAAATCATTTTTTAAGGATTCACTGTTTCCAGCTTTTTGATCAATACTAATCAAAATATAAGATATATTGCAGCACTAAATAATGAGATATATACCAAAAGTTTCATTCAAAATTTCTAGCTTCTACTAATCAATTAATTGACCAGGAACAAAAACAAAGTTGCTGGAAAAGCTCAGCATGTCTGGCAGCATCTGTGAAGGAAAAAACAGAGTTAACGTTTTGGGTCCGGTGACCCTTCCTCAGAGG